AATAACAGAATATACATATGCATAGAAAAACCATGAATTTCAACTACAAATAAATAGATCAGGAAATTAAAATAGAACCTGTAGAATATTATGTATTAGAAATAAACAAAGTATTTAACGTTTTAAAAAACAGCACAATAACAACATTAAAACCTAAAAATAACATGATATTTTTCTATGACGTCCTGACAGTTGTAATAGTTTGTAAAGTTAATAAACATTTTAATTGGTTTCATTTTAGACTGCAATGATTCCTAATTGTGTATTGGAACTACAATAATAATTACTAAAGTATAGGCAATACTTTATACGCTACTGCAATGTAGGTCGCCTATATCTATATTTAAAAATCTCATATTTTGTAGATAAAGAAGGCAATAAATTGTATTGAATTTGACTGTTATTACAAATAACTTAACATGTAAAAATAGCTTTGGGTTCTATTATTCTTAATGTAATGGATATACAATATGCCAGTTATTGTTTGTAACCTATTTACTAGTACATCTGCGTATTTTTGAGAACAATTACTACCTGGAAAATATAAAAAATTAGAAATCTTCCATTTTTTATAAGGATTTTATGAGATCTTAAAAATCGGTTATCCGTATAGCTGTGTGAAAGATGTGTTATTTGTATCTGACTGTCACAAGAGAACTATACGTGCTAGAAAAAAATTATTAGCATATTTCTGGAATTTGTGTAAATACTACTATAAGAATCAGTCAAAAAAATATATTATTATTGTTCGATAAGATATTATATTTCTTTGTTTTCAATTAGTGGATGTTGGCGACAATTCTGGCATACTCCTCTCGATTTTGCGTGGCTCTAAAGAAAACATGGGCATCGAGGTTCGTCAAATCCCTTATGTTTTTAAGCCATGAGGATTTCTTTCTTCCGATGCCTTTTGTTATGTGATCTGTCTAGGGAATTTTAAGTAGTTTTCTAAAAACCCACATTTCAAAGGCCTCCAATTGGTTCATCACATTATCCTTATGGTCCAGGTTTCTACACCATATAGTAGTATGGAGTACATGTAACATTTTACAAAGCGATATCGAAGCGTTAAGTTAAGGCTACTGTTGCTTAGCAAGGTTCTCATATTAGTAAATGCTGTTCTGGCTTGCTCAATTCTGCTACGTATCTGTATGTCTGAATCAAGATATTTAGTTATTTAACTACCGAGATATCTGAACTTGGGGACCTTTTGGATGTTCTTATTGTTAACTCTTATATTTAATATCATATTTCGTGTTCTACTAACACTAACCACCATTACCTTTGTCTTGTCTATATTAATCTTCAAGCCCAGTCGTTCTTCTTCAGTGTTTATTCTATCTATTAGTTGTTGTAGCGTTTCTAGTCTATCAGCTATTATCACTGTATCATCAGCCTAGAAGAGATTACTAACAGTCTGTCCGTTGATTTTGATTCCATCTTCAGTGTCTCTTAAGGCTCTATCGAAAATCGTTTCAGAGTAAAGATTAAAAAGGAGGGGTGACAGAACACAACCCTGTCGTACACCTTTTTCGGTTGAGAAATATGATGTAGATTCCAGTCCTATTCTTACATATGCCACTCGATTCATATCAAGGTTCTTTATGATTTTAAGGTCATTCTCATCTATCGAACATTCCTAGAGCAATCTTACTAATTCTGAATGATACACAATCAAACGCTTTCTGGTAATTTATAAAGCATAGGAAGACATCTTTTTTCTGATCTCTGCATTTCTGAAGTAGTAGTTAAGCTATAAAGTGCTTCTTTTGTGCCAAATCCTTGTCTGAAACTGTGTGGAGCTAATGTCTCTTTCACATCTGTTGTGTATTCTTGTAAAGGTAATGGATTTTGAAAAGAACTATGACCTTGTAAATAACAGGTAAACTTGTGTACTGAATCGGCATGACACATAGCCCTTGTTAAAATCCATTACCTCTATGAATTATCTTTAAGAAGAGTTTTAGGACCTGCAACTCTTTACGTAACTATAACTTCTGATCTACTTATAATAAAAACCTGGTCCGACTCTTTTAACGTGGATAAGACAGTAGCATGTTCCTATAAAGGAGGTTTTCAACTTTTGCTTCTTATTAATAGCCAGATCAGTATCGTTGATTCTGTAAAATTTCCTGGCATTTTTATAGACAGCAACCTTAAATGGTCCCTTCATATCGATTTGTTAAATAAGAAGCTAGCCTCAGCCTGCTCTGCAATAAAATCTGTTTCGAAGGAAATCAATTTAGCATCTTTCAAAATTTATATTTTTCTTTGTTCCAGTCTCATCTTCGATATGACCTGCCTTTTTGAGGTTCTAGTACAACTGCCCAATCTGATGTTACTTTTAAACTACAAAAAAAATAAGGTATCTTTTTGGTCTTAATAGAATAACACATTGCAGAAGCTACTTCCCTCTTTATATATTTTAGAAACTGTTTGCTTAATTCATAAACACCTACATGTATTTCCAGCAAGACTTAATCATGACTACTCTACCAGAAATTCAACCTCTGAACTATAATAGTCATAAGAATAGTATAGGTATCTATATTATATTTGACAAAAAAGTTATATAACTATTTCACATTGCAACTTAAATCTATAACTTCTTTCCTTAAGTTCCGTAAATTGACAAAAGTCTCATGTCAAAGACCATACTATTTAGTGAAAAAGTTTCTTAACAAATAACTAAGAAATTACAGTACGTTTAGGTACAAGCAAATAATGTATTTTTATATACAGGGTGTTTCAAAAAGGTATGTCATAAATTAAATCATTCTGGGGACAAAAATAAATTTATTGAATCCAACTACCTTAATACAAAAGGGCACACAAAAAACAGTCCTTTGAAGTTACAAAATAAAAATTGTTTTTTTTTGCATTATCTCCTAAACTACTTGACATTTTGTAATCAATATGGACACGTTACTTTCTTGTTCTTGTTCGTGTGTAATTTTCTCTTGAGTTGGGTGAAAAGAATATAAACTTAAGATTAAACAAATTGGAGAATTATTAAAAGAAGATCTTCCCCGTTTGTTTTTCATTCCTTTCTCAATGTACTTCACAAAAGGTGCGTCATCTTAGTAATCCGTTGCTGAGTAATGCGTCATCTGAGTAATCCACGAATACATCTAGATAAGTTGACAGGTACTTAAATAAAATGGATTTTTTGAAGGGTAAGTGGTTATATTTTTATTGCCACTATCAGGGTCTTCAAAAGCAATCTTATCAGTGTATAAATCAATAAACTCATTATGGCATAAAGGCATTACTTGAAATGGTGTTGGCTTACCTCTAGCACTGCGAATTATTTGGCACCACCCCTCCGGAGTTAAAATTGGGACATTTTTACTTTGCTGCTCTATTTTGACATGAATGGAGTCACACTCCATTTAACTATGACCAGGTTTTAAAACCTGCCATCAATTTCTTTGATCGAGTTGTGCTCCTTAACAACATTCAAACACATAGTAACGAATTTAGAATGCTTTAGCTTGAACAACATTCATACACATAGTAATAAATTTGGAATTTTTTTGGTGGCCTCTGCAGCTTTCCGACTTCATTCTGAGAAATTATCTATTGGTTTGTCACATTTAATATAAGTGCATGTCGATATCTCTAAACTGCTCCGGTTTCTTTCTGTTTCAGACACAACAGGCTTCTTTAAGATTGTAAATGGTAAGGTTGTATACAGCCAAAGTTTGACGTAGCTCCTTTTGATGTGTTCAAAACGGCTTGGAGATCTGATTTTACTGCCAAAACCTTATCTTGATCCTTTGTATCCTCTTGGATCTTTAAGTTTTCGTGCTGCTTCCTTGCGTCTAATATGCTCGGTATAGCGAGAATCATCATAGTTTGTACCTTCTTTTTGCTCTTCATAAGCAAAATATTTCTTACAACGATCTTTAGCATGTCTGTGAAATTTCAGTTTGTACTCACGAAATTCGTCTGTACTTTTCTAAAAATACTGGATTTTTGTTTTCTTCAATGCACTTTTTTTTATACAAGTTTTGCTTAATTGTTACATTTAAGTTACTGATATTGGTTTATATATTGGTTTATATTGGTATTCTGATTTTTTTCCTTGCATAGTGTGATTTCATTCTTGGGCGCGATAAAATGTGATCTCTTACGAATTGTTCATTTATACTAATTACTTTATTTGGTGGATTTCTCATCTGATTCGAGATTTGTGGTAGGTAAAAGATTTGTTGGATGATCAGTTGGTTCAAAAATTCAATTAGGTAAACTGACGAATATGCCAATTTCGTTATTTTGACGATCTGTAATGATTGTAATACACTTTCGTTAGAGTGCGAATGTGGGACATTCGCTTTTTTACCTATCGAATATTCATATTCCACTGTTTATCGTTGTGAATAATGAAGTAGGTGTAGATTCGTTAAACTAAAAATCGTCAAGAATGACGTAAATATTGAACCTGCACATTCGCTGTTTTACTGGAATATACATCTTGACAAGCCATGGTTGTTTAGTGTATTAGCTCAGATACGCCAATTTTGCACATTCGCTACTTTACCAGTTTGTTACGAGAGTTTCTGGACATCCTGTATAATAAAAAAAATAGAATGAATGAAAGTTTAAAGTTAGTCATCGAGCATACCAGTGCACGTTCAACGCACTACATATGTAATGTATTGTTTATAACTAGTGCACTTTTTGCTGACAAGTCATATCAAATTTTATATCCACTTCGTGTTTTACCTATTCTATTTTCATTGTAGTACCCGCGTACCATCTTCAATGACACACGTTAGGCGTTAGCTTCGTTACAATACACGAACAATGCTATGCTGATAGATCATCCTATAAAAATTTCAATATCGGGTTGAGTATATACTTTTCTAAAGTTTTTATTCGCGTGTGCAATTGTTTTTTTATAACCGTAATTTGTTGGATTTTTTACACACAAATATTCAACAATTGTTTTATTTAGGTAAGTACTGTTTTACATATTTTCCTTAATTTCCATACAGATTTAGAGATGGATCCCGATCTCGATCAAGAATTTTATAAGAAAGAAGCTAAAGATATGGTTAATGTTGTACAAAGACTCATTTCACTTGGTAAGTATTTACATATAATGCTCTATTTACGAATTTGAGTGAAGTACATACTACACGTGAACTTTGACCGATCCTTATGGGGTTTTACCAGAAAAAAACTATTAAAAAAGCTGAGAAAAAATTATTTTATTTTTTAATAGTGTTTTGCAACAACGGTTATTTCGAACTTATATGAAAATATACTTCTTTTATGTTGTTCTGAAGTTATTTTCTTGTGGCATTTTAAAGTAATTACTATTTTAATTGGAATAAACCACAATTGAAGGTTAAAATAAGTTTGTTGACGTTTCAATTTCCACTTCGGAAATCGTTCTCGAAATACAAACATTTATAAATTAAATCAATTTTGTTTTTTGTTACTTGGTAAAAAGTTCTTGTAATAATTTAATTTTATCTGACTCATTTATATTGACAATTCAGACAGTGGCGCACCTAGAATTTTCCTTGGGGGGTAGGGGGTTTCTGGGGGGGTTTTGGTTGGACACCGATTTTTTTTATGCTACCTCCACCATTTTAAGTTCTTAAAATTTGTAAGTAACAGTGTCTTAATAGTGCCCCGGGGGACGGGGGGGTTATTCTGGGGCTCTTATTTCGGTTGTTTGATCATTGACCAAATGTATGTTTGTTGGTATATTTGTTTTCTTTAATATTATCATTCTTTAATATATCATATGTATTTGGTCTTTTTTATATTCATTTTTAGTCCATATTTTTCATAAAAACTTTTTTGTTGTAGCAGTAATTGAAGTTCAGCAGAGCTTGCCATAATCACGGTTGTCATCTGCATATCTTATGTTGTTAATAGATCTTCCGTTAATTATTATTCCTTTACTGTGAGATAGTAATGCTTTTTCAAAAATGGCTTTACTATAATATACATTAAATAGTAATGGGGACATAATACATCCCTGCCTGACTCCTCTCCTGATTCAAAATCAACGTAACAAACATGCACATCAACATTCATATCCATTTATCTTTGAGCTAACACGTTAAAAGCAAATAACGCTTCTTTGGTTCCTAGTCCGTTTCTGAACCCAAACTGACTATCATTTATTCCTTTTTACAGTTTTTTATTTATAGGACAATGTATTATTTTCAAGAATCATTTGAGAATGTGACTTATTAGTGATATTGTTCTGTATTCACTGCAATATTTAGCGTTTGTATTTTTAGGGATAGCACAAAAGGTGGAGAGTAACCATTGCTTCGGTATTTGTCCTGTTTTGTATACTGCAGTAGCGCACCTAGAATTTTGCTCTGGGGGGGTTTTGGTCGGGCACTGAAATTGTTTTGTGATACCTTCACCATTTTAAGTCCTTAAAATTTGTGAATGCGTACTCTGGGGGGGGGGGGGTTTAACCCTCAAAACCCCCCCTGGGTGCACCACTGTTATACTAAGTTAAATAAGTCTACTTTCATCATTTGGTGCATAAGGTTTCATCATTTATGCATTTTAAGATTTCTATAGGAATGAGATCTGGATCTACTGCTTTAACATTTTTGCTGTTTTTTAATGCCATTTTAATTTCCCCTTTTAATATCTTTAAAACCATATCTTCTTTTACTTCTATCTCCATCTGCTCTGTTCTATTGTCTTTGAACAGTTCATTGATGTGTTCTGTCTCTCTTTAATTTGTCGTTAGTATTCAACATAAGTTTGCCATTTGCATCTTTCAGTATTCCCGGTTTTCTTGTTCTATTGTTGTGAGTTATTTCTTTAATTTTTTTATGTGTGTTAAAAGTATTATGTATTTTCTGGTATTCTTCTATTTCTGCGCATTGTTCTTTTAACCATTGTTCTTTCGCTTTCTTTGGTCTGTATTTTATTTGCTTATCAACTTTTTTGTACATCTGATTATCTTTGTTTTTATATTGACGTCTTTCTTCCATTAAATCTAACATTTCTTCGGTCATCCATTGCTTCTTTTTATTATCTGGTTGGTATTAGAATTTCTTATTGACTTTGATCAATTTCTGTGTTTATTAATAACCATTTTTTATCCGTCTCACTATTTTGCAGAATTTGTTCCTTACCATTCATTAATCCTTTGTTGATTTCATCTGCCAGAGGTTGCCTTGTGAGTGGGTTCCTTAATTTATTTGTATCCCTTTTTGCATTTATTGTTATTCGTTTCATTATTTTCATTTTGAGCCTAATTTTGGTCACTACTGGGTTGTGATCTGATCCTATGTCGGCACTTGGATAGGCTTTTGCAGATATAATTGCGTTCCTGTATCTTTGTCTAACTAATATATAGTCTATTTGGTTTCTTACAATTCTCTCTTTTTAATCTGCTGGTGACTTACAGGTATATAGTCTTATCTTTGGCATTTTGAACAATGTATTAGCTATAACAAAATTATTATTTTGGCAAACTTCGATAAGCTTGTCACTCCTTTCGTTTCTGTTGCCCAGACCATATCTTCCTGTACATTCTTCTACTTTTTCTTTCCTAACCTTTGGGTTAAAGTCTCCCTTTATAATTGTTACATCTTGCATTTTAATGGATTTTAAAATGTTGTCTAGGTCTTCGTAGCAAGTTTCAATATCGCTCTCTGGTTTGTCCGCAGTTGGAGCATAAACTTGTAGGATGTTTATTTTGGGTTTGTTCTGGTTTAATTATAAGAGTATAATCCTGTTGGAGTATAATTCTGTTGTGAGTATGGAGTGAAATTTATAACAGCTTCATCAATGTTTTTGTTATTCCGACACCATATCTGTGTGAACCGTCTTGACTTCCTGAATAATATATTGTTTTATTGTTGATTTTTCTCTTTCCTGAGTTGGGCCATTGGACATCGATGATTCCTAAAATATCTATATTCAGCCTTTCCATTTCTTTAAAAGCATTATGTACTTTTCCAGCTTGATGTAGATTTCTAACATTCCAAGTTGCTACTTTGCAAGGTTTTTGCATGTTGCATGACCGGGGAGGCCTTGCAGTCTTGTAAGTTTTCTCCTCTGTCGGATCTTGTTTTCCGAGTTTCATGATCAACAAAGTGTTTGGTTGTATCGTTATGATGGTTAACTAGGGTTGCCCTATGAGCCTTTAATGTATTGGTTTCCCGTTGCCTTATGCATCTCCACACCGTTGATCATGTCTGGTTTTTCCGCTTTTAGAAATGATTTTCCATTTCTAGGACAAGAAGGTGCCTTTCCACTTACCGACTCTTCCACCCGAAGTTGTTGATCATTAAGTTGGGCTTGCTTATAGCGGTAATCACTCGGACGTCAGAGCCTCGTTTGTTATCTAGTAGAATGTACCGGATGATCTAGAGATGATGTAGATCATCTCATGGGCAGGTGAGGTTGACAGTTAAATAGGAGAGGCTATGTATTGCGCATCACTAAACTGTTCCCAGTATTCATTTTTTGTTCTTCTTACCAACTGCTTTGTTTTATTTCGTATTCTTCTATAGGTGTCTCCGGATTTTGGAGCATTTGATGTTTTGTACTTTATGTAGACCTCTCGTTTCTCTTTACATTTCTGTTTTATTAATTTTGGTGTATTGTTGTTGTTTCTTTTGTTCAGTATGACTTTGCCTCCTGGAGGTTTCAAATGTATATTTATATTGGAGCTTATGGTCGAAAAATGTATTATTGATTCTTAGTTCGGTAAAAGCACATATATTACCCATAAGTTCTCCATTAAAATACTAAATACTTCTTTTATAATCCCTTCCCCCATCAAAAGTTGGTCACCATCATAGCTATTCTTATCGTATTGACATAAACTCTGAAAAGGTCTACTGAGCTGTAACCACACTACTTTTAAAGGTTTCTCAACCAAGAAATCCTTCGGTCTATACTTCTTTTACCCATTGACTTTCCTCGCAAGCTAAAACTTAGTAGGTACTTGCATTCACTGCATGTGTTCTATTTTTATTGTCCAGCTTTTCAAAATAGGGAATATGCAATAAAAATAGAGCTTAAAAAAAAAGAGTTAAGAAAAATCTTAGAGCTTTAATCAGCAGTTCTATAGCAAGATCAGTATTAGTTAAACTCTTACTTATTACTTTTATAAATGTTTGTCTCGCATTTTCAATTGAATTCCTGCCCTTATTTCTCCACTTAACATTTTAGCATCATTGAAAGCTTCGTTCGCTCACTGGCTTCGTCCTATAAGCTTTTTAAGCTTTTCTGTACATCTTTATCCAGATGCTCTGCCATGTAAGCAGTTGTGAGGTTTGCTGTGACATTTAGGAAATTGTTTAGGAAAGGTTTGCTCATTTGAATTTTGTTTTGTTTTTTTGTCGAGGTGGTCAGATTATTTTTAAAGATTCTCGTACACAACTGAGACACAAAGAAGATATTGGTATCTATAAATTTCCTGCTATGAACAGTCCTGTAAAAACCATTTTGCTGTAAAAACTGTCAATCAATTAATCAATATATTAATTATTTTATCTAAAAATATATATATGTATTTACGTTTTTTGATCAATTTTCTTTATAAAAACATTTATTTTAGAATTCCATTTAAACGATAATAATTAAAAGGAAATAAGGGTCATTCCTCTTGCTGACTTTATTGAACATAATATAAAAACTTATAATTAAAAGTGTCCACTTAGCTTTATTCGGAAATTCAATTGCAGACTGCAAAAAAATATATAGTCAAAGAAATGTTTATTGAAATTTAATGACATCTTTAATTGATGAATATTTAGGTTTAGTGTTTTATAAAGGATAGTAATTTTTCTTTTTCGAGGGGCATGGATAGGTAGCTGAAGTCTTCTATAGCCACTTCGGTACCAACTAGTTCTTTGAAGTGCTCAACCCATTTGCTCCGTACAAAAATCTCTAATCATTTGAAGTTCCTTATCCTGGTTAGTGTCAATTATAAATTCCTCTACCCTTTCATCTGTTATATGTAATGTATGCACTATTTCCGTTACACAAGCATCATCCTCTACATTTTGCTTCAAAACATTCCGAGAAAACAAATCAGCTATTAGCAATTCCTTGCCTGGCCTAAATTCTACAGTAAAGTCAT